TTTATGAACTTTTTTCAAGTATTTAACATATTTAGAAGCCAAACAGGGATTACCAGTCTTCTCAGTGGGACATAGTAAATCTTTCGGGATTTTCGGGTAATTTGTTATTGGGACGATTCCGTGTTTCTTGAAATAATCATTTTTATTTGGAGCACGAAAACCAATATTTTTAGTGGGTTTAGATAAGTTTTCAATTATTATTTTCATTGTCGAGACTAAAAAGACAAATGAGACAAATTGTTAGAATTTTACCAATGAAGTGATTATCTATTGAGTATAATCTAAAATTCTTCTACGAATCTCTTGATCAACAGATGATAAAAGTCGTAAAAGATTTCGTCGTGAAATGTACAAGTGATAGGCTTCAAAATCAACAGTGATAATTGTTTCCAGCGTAGAATGGGTCAAATGAGGCGGGGTAAGTTTTAAAATGGTGAAAAAATCAAGGATTGGAATGATAAAATCAGCAAGATTCAAAATTTGATTTTTTTCGTTCGCATTAGTAATTGTATTAGCATGAACTTGCGTGGCTGCATCTTTTTTTCTAACAAACAACAAAGATGTTGGATTTTTCCCAGGAGAAACTCGATACATTGCACACCTATCTGGAAATAGTCAGCAATAAGAATTTAAAATTAATAAAGACGCTTAGCTCGAAGAGAACAAAAAAAACATAAACGAAACAGAAGCAAACAAAAAAGTTTCAATTCACAATCAATATCAACTAACAAAGTGAGTTCGATCGAAAAAGTTTCAATTCACAATCAAAAATCACTATCAAAGTGACTTAAATCAAAAAAGTTTCAATTCACAATCAAATTCAATATCAAAGTGAGTTCAATTAAAAAAGTTTCAATTGACAATCAAAATTCAATATCACAAGTGATGAATGTCAAGAAAGTTTCAATTCACAATATACGCTAACAAAGTTAAGACAATCAGTAAAAATTCAAATCTCAAACATAAATCAATTGCAAAGCAAAGACAAATAAAAGAAGTTTCCATACACAATCATTATTCATCATCAAAGTGAAGAAAGTCAAAAAAGTTTCAGTTTACAATCAAAATGCAGCTTAAAAACAAAGTCAACCAAAAAAGACAATTTATAATAAACAATCAGTGAAAATAAAAAGACAATCAAAAGCTTCAGTTCACAGTCATAATTCATCAACAGAGCGAAGACAGTCAAGAAAGCTTTGATTCTCAATAATAAATGACAAACAAAGCAAAGTCAAACAACAATCAACAGTATAAGTAAACATAAAACAAAAAGAGACTTACGTTTTACCGATGCAAGACAGACAGATAAACGAAAAATCAAATAGAACGAACCAAGCAAATTCGAACCAGATGACGGCTTACAAAAGATACAAGTATCAAGGGACAAGACCGAAGATTTGTGGAGACCAAAGCAAACCACGTCGGATCAGAAATGATAGAAAGAACGCAATACGCCGGTGAAGTCAAACAAGATAAAAATACATAAAAGACTAACGGATTAAAGTTAAAACAAAAAACACGATGAAACACAAATCCAAAGTTTAACAACTAAAAAATGCAAAAAAAACTATTTTGACTTGCACAAAACAGAAGAGTAAACTTTGTTCTGGTGAACATGAATATGAATATGAAGACGATTTCGTTCTGTATTTATACTTTCCCACAAGGACATGTTGTTTTGAAACAATGTTTCAATTCTGTTTTGATAATTGCTTAGTTAATTATTTTGTTTAATTAATTGTAAATACAAAACTATGATAAATTGCTTTAACTTTTCTTAAAACTGTCTGAAGGACAATCATAACTGTAAAAAGCGTCTAGACTAATTATCAACATCTCAAAATTGAATTAATTGCCTTATTATTTATGCAAAACAAATAAAAATCAAGCTTCAATAAAACATAACTCGAAAACAATAGGAAATTATAAGGAAATCGGTCTCAAGGTAAATATAATTTTCAGACAGTTGAGAAAGTACGTTTAATTGCAGGAAAAAACCGTCTCAAGGTGAGCGTTATTAGCAGACAATTGAGAGACAGTTACTTAACAATAGAATGAACTTCAAGGTTGACCCTGAATCAATCAAAAATATGCATCTAATCAAAAGGAGTTATCTTGTGCACAGGAGTTATCTTGTGTATATTTACTACTACTGTTACATTAGGTTAAATGGATTCTTTTTTTGGTTCACCTTGACATTGGTTTGTCAGGATGAAAAGGTGGATACTTGAAGATGAAAGGATGAAGAGGCAAGAAGAAGATGAGTAATGTTGAAGATGTTGTTTTCTCAATCATTTTCATTTGCTTTTCGCTTGACATTATCAAAGAAGAAGAAGAAGATGATGATGAAAAAAAAAGAATTGAAAGAAAAGGAAAATGTCTCCATTTTTATCCTGAATGAGGATAAGATGATGATGAGGATGATTAGGACGAGAATGATTGAACCAAAGAAGATCTGTTTTCTCATGCAGATGAGGAATAAAATAAATTCATAGAAAATGCTTTTTTCGATTTTTTGTTTTCTTTTTACTTCTTCCATCACAAATGAAAGTCTCAATTTCGGGTTCCTCTCAACTCTTGAACCTTTTCTTCTTCTTTACATATCATCATCACCTTATTTTCCTTTCACTTTATCCTCATCTTTCGCCAATATTTTCCTCTTAAATTGAACCATTCAAAGTCCACGAAGTCCCTTTCATCTTCATACTTATCTTCCCTTTCATCTCGATTCACTCCATCACATTAAGATATTCAAATCATTTTATTGATCATTGTTTACACCTTGATATCAACCTCTTTCCCTGTTCAGTTGATAAAACCTCATTCAACTTTTGCCAAAAAAAAAACTTTTACTCTTTCGATTGAAACAATTCTGTTAATTGCGTGATTCTGTTGAAGCAAATATGCTCAATTGAATTGGTGACATTCATGATTGATGTAAACATGATAAATTAACTGAGGAGTTAACATGATAGTTAACCGTGTAAAGAGTGGCAGTGATTTGAGAGAAAAAAAAAGTGTCAAGAAAAAGGAAGATGAAACAAGATGGAAAAGATGAAGATGAACATTTTCGTGATAACCTGCATGCACATTGTACCAATGAAAGATGACAGGTTAACCTGGTGAAACATGGCGATTATGTAAACATGAGAAATTAATAAGCACAAGTTGAATGATAATTTGCTTAACATCAATTGTTGGTAAAACATTGACAATCATTTCAACAGTCGTCAAGTTTATCCTTGCAATTGTCGTCTTTTAATATTCTGTACTTGAATAGTTGATACTTTATTTTACCTTTTTTAATAAACATTTTTCGCTGTTGAGAAGAAGAAGGAAAAAACTCGTCTCTTTTGCTCTTAATAAATATTTACCTTATACTATTAGATGTATTCATGTGTTTACTTACAAGATTATACTCATTCACAGTTGGAAATATTTGACTCAATTGATATGGAATGGGAGAGAAAACTTAGCTGACAAAATCATGTTAAGAACATGAATTTGTGAGTCAAAGGAAAAGTAATTTTTTCTTCGCTTCTCTTCTTCTTCTTCTTCACTTATCATCCTCTTTCAAGACTATTTTTATTTTGTCAAATTATTATTTTCCATGTAAACATGAACATGATTACAATGTTGTATCATGATGCAAGGATTATTAAGAATTGAGCTTTTCAACATTATCATCAAAGTATTGATTATTTGGCAACTTTAAGTCGATCAGTTTAAATTAAAACAAGCTTCATAAGACACTTAACTCCAAGTAATAATTAGCTCAATACTTAACTTTATTTTGCTAAACGTTTTTAAATAAACTAGAAAATACGAAAATAATCGATTCGATTTTTTAGCCATGAAAAGGAATGCCCTTATCGATGGATTGATCCAAATAAACTGATATAAAATTGTTGAACTTTGGATGAAAATGAATCTGAATATTTGATTGAATTGTGAGATCTTTGCAAAAACTAGAGGAATGCATCTTTATTCATTGACTAACTCATTGGTTAACCCTTAAATCTGGTTAGTCGAGCCATTCGATTCCATGTTTATTTGCGATTTGATAACGAAAAGGTAAATTCAGTGTTTTTTCCTCTCAATTGTTTTATCGAATTAGTTAGAACTGATTCAATGAAGGTTATGAGTAACAATAAAACTTTATCTGAATCATTTGCTAGGAAAATGTTGAAAATCATTTTTTGTTTTCTGCAAGTTTCGACTCGAAATTTGATTTTGTCTGTAATTTTACTTTGCCAAAACCTTTGTCGTACATTTCAAGTCAACTTTTATTCAAGTGTTATCATGCCATCAATGAGTATTCATTTTTCATGAGGTTCAAAATTTTCAGTGGCAAACTTTTTCCAAACAAAAGTTGAAATAGAGGTGTTCGATATGAGTATTTGCATCATATCGATAAAAATCATATCGTTTACTTTGATATCGATCTTATTTGAATATTCATATATCGATATTTATCGATAAAATAATTGAATATTGTACATAAATGACGCAACTTTAGAAATAAGAGATAAGTTAGGTCAGGTGTGACTGGATAAGTTTTTTATGATTGAATAGTTTAAGTAGTAAGTTAAAAGTATCAAATCAACTCCTTCAAAAATTGAAATGAATGTAATAAAGACTGAAAATAACGATACATAAAACTTTTTGACCTGAAAAATGGCCAAGAACTTCAACGATTTTTTTCGAATATTTATCGATATATCATACGAAATATCAAAATATATCGAGGCCTGAATATCGATTTTTATCGAGTATATTGATATATCGGAACACCTCTAAGTTGAAACAATGAATCTCATCAATTGTTTATATCTGATTTGGATCAATTACTTGTTTAATATTTTTTACACCAAAACTTTTCATCTTTTCATGAGCTTTTTTGGAAATAAATTGATTCCTGAAAACGGGAATTTAAAGTCGATTTTCAAGGTTTTCAAGTTTAATATTCAATTTGAAATTCAACTTGACCAAAGACTTACATTTAACTTGAAGCAAGAATCTTCTGGACACTGAATTAGGAATACCGTTTGAGGCAATGCAAAGGTAAGCACCCATGTGAACCCGTGTTACTCGTGAAATGGTCAACGTTTCACCAGTCACATTATGAACTGTGAAAGAAAAGAAAATTAAATTTATTTTTTCGCTCTTCTTTTCGCTTCAATCAATAACAACTTTACGTTTCGATAAAAGTTGATTAAAAATTAGTAGTGACAATAATTTTCATGTTCAAATGGTGATGAAAAATGGTTTTATTAATAATAATCGTTTTGGTAAATGTTTGTTGAAGTGAGAGTGAAAAAAAACGAAATGAAATAAAAGTTAAAAAACAAAATTGAACAGGGAAGAAGGCAGAGAAAGATGAAGATGATAAAAAGTCTATCAGTGAGTTAAATCCACCATAAATCATTGGATCGTCTCTATTGCCAAATACAGAAGAAGAAGAAATGAGAATGATAATCATCATGAGTACCTGTATCTGTGTACGTTGAATGATTTCTTAAACATGACTGGGAGTGAAAGATAACATGGGAATAAGGATGAAACCAGGGAGTGAGATAACTGGGAATGAGCAAGAATTTGAAATGATAATAATATTAGAGTAAAAACTTGTAAATGGATAAACTGTTGTATGTTTATGAAGAGTGAAACTGAAATAAGGGATGGAAAAGCAAAAATAATTGAAATTGGTTGAGTGTGATAAGAGGTTGAAATAGGAAGACAAAGATGAATATGAGGATGATGATAAGAGGGGATGAGGAAAGAGGAATGTCAAGAAAACTGTCAACTTAACTGTTCTTTTTTTTTACTCTTCGTTTTTTGCTCTGTATTTATATGCCAATAGAGATGGAAAATGATGAAGTTGGATGGAAAAAAAAGTTCAGTATAAAGATGGTGAAGAGGATAAGGATATGAGAGAGAAAACAATAAACTTGAGTTAAGCTTAGTTGATGATTGTGTGATGGTTAAAGATTAAGACGAGTGTGATCAACATGATGGGAATGATGTGAGAATCGGAAAATAGATAAGCTTCTCATTAATGAAACTTTCGAGTTTTGCCTCTTCTTTTTTACCTTTTACGATACGCTTTTTTGACCAACTTACCTATGTATTTTTTTCCTTGACTATTGTGCAATGGAATCTCTTTTTTGTCTTCTCTCTTCCAAAGGATTGTCGGACTTGGATAACCTTTGGCTTTACATGTTAACGTGGCATTGGATCCTTCATTAAAGACGTAATCACTTCGATTGTCACCAATTATGGTTGGTGGGTAAACTACATCCAGGTAGCCAACTTGACTTCTCATTGGAACAGTATTTACCTGGCACATGTAACCACCTTTATCACTTTCAGCGACACTTTTTATGGTTAATAAAAAATTACGGTTATCGGTTACCGTCAGGCCAACTCGATAGTTTCTTGTAATAATGTGATCATGAATTGTTAATATTCCCTTATCTTCAACTCGTAACCAAGCTACCTGTAGGAGGAGAAAACAGAAAATTTGAAAAGGTTAAAAGGTAAAATCAATGTTCGACTCGAGCAAATTATTCTTGAAATTAAATGTTCAACAAATATTTATAATGAAATGCTGCAAGTTGGATAATCACACATCAAGACCCTAACTTTGCCTTCTGCTCAACCCAACACACTCACTGTACTGCATCACATCCTTCACTTCATTCAGGTAGATTCAGTTTACGCAGGCAACTAGCCAGCCTTACACTAAGCATCGACCTTAGATCCTTCACTAGACTACATCAACTGAGCCTTATAACAGAACATTACAGTCCACTATTCTGATCAGATTATAATCGATTATCAATATTTGGATCGAAATTTTCCAATATTTATCGAAATGCGAATTGCTTTAAGTTAGATAATCACACATCAAGACCCTAACACTGCCTTCTTCTCAACCCAACACACTCACTGTGCTACATCAAATCCTTTACTTCATTCAGGGTCGATTCAGTTTACGTTGACAACTGGCCAGCCTTGAACTAAGCCTCAACCTAAGACCCTTCACTAGGCTGCATAAACTCAGCCTTGTAACAGGACATTATGATCAGCAATTACAATCGATTATCACTTTTTTGATCGATATTTTTCGAATATCTATCGAAAGAAGAATTGAGTAAAAGACTGAAAAATATCGAGAAATATGTCTAAAATAAATTTAAATAGGTCATTTGGATTTCAAATAATCTTGAAATACCAACTTAATGACCATCAAACTAGTCAGTCTGAACCCTAACCCTAAGCCCATCTTGTACAAACTTAGAGCCACTAACATCATGTGAAGACTGCCCTGAATCATTGAATCTCAACCTTTCCCTTCATGTGAGATGAAAAACCGTGTCTAACTTTTTTTCATGATAAACATGATAGTGTGAGAAATGAAAATTGTCGGTTTCCTTTTTACCATGACAGTGTAAATTATTCATTATTAGCCTGAACTCTAGCAAAACTTGATTCATAAAGTTAATGAACCCCTTAACTGTGCAAGAAATTTTTGTCCTTTTCTTTTCATCCAATTCTATTCAAATTAAATCTCATAGCATGGTAAAGATTAAAATTTTGTCAACCTTCCAACAGCTGGATAAAGTTTAAATAGCAGAACAAAAAATGCCATTCAAAAACTGAACATTAATCTAAAATTATCATAATTGTTGATAGAATCATTCAACAATTGAAATGTTTCTCTTTCGCCTTCTTCCTCCAACAATCAAACATTTTTACCTTTAAATCATTAATCACCTTCACAATGAAACATTAATAACTAATACATTACAATGAACCATTTCAACGCAACAAAAAAGAGTGAAATATTACATCAACAATTAGAATTGATGATTAAAGTAATTGAAATGATAACAAGAAGAGCAACACTTGAAACATGTAAATCAACATTCCCTGTAACTCTGAATCAAAAGGAAACAAAATCAATTAATCCATCTTAACCTAATCACCATGAGATTACTTTTTTGTTTTCCAACCATCCATTGATTCACCTTAACAAATATTAACAGTTAACCTGATAACCATTAATGAATTGAATCAACAACCATTTATTAAACATGTGCAAGAACAAGCTGCAAAATAATGAATGAAAAATCATTTAATTACTCACCTTATATGAACCTAAATCAGCTACAGTACAGGGCAGTTGAGCATCACGACCAACTTGGACAGTTAAGTTTGGAATGGTTGATATAAATTCAGGTTCACTTTCTTTACCTGGATCATCTGTGGAAAAAAATAACAATGAGAAGTTCATGAATATGGTGAAACAAGGCACAAAAACTATTAACAATTGAAATACAACAAACAAGTAATCATCGCAACTATTAAAATGATGATTATCACGATCATCATTGTGATTATCATTGTGATTATCGTCATGATTTTTGATGGGCAAACAATTTGAGGACAGTTTAACACAATTGTATATCAAATTAATTGTTATATTCCGATCACGTTTCCTCGTTTTTTTCAACTTTTTTACTCTCAGTTCTTGTCCTAAACTTTGGACATAACTGTGCAACAGTAATAACTGAAATATCATTTTCACAGATCGTTGACATTGCTCATGAAATAATAATACATTTGTACAAATATATTCATGGTAAATTCTGAAACTTTTTTTTCCTCTTTTCCTTTTTTCATTTCACCTTCTTTTCATCATATCACTTTCAGCATTTTCACTCTTTTTTTACCAACTTTTTTGGCCAACATTTTCCCTTCTCATTTCGAGCCAACTACAAAATTAAATACAAGGGTCAACACAAAAACAATCAGTAACAAGAATGTTTTACTTTCATTTGAACTTTTTTTTTCTCAACCTTTTTCTCTTCTTTCCTGATTCACAGTCTGTTGATCAATTATCATCTGGTGAATGGTTTGTTACACAAAATGCTAATCAATCAAAACACTAAATTGTCACAATGTCAAGAGATGATCAAAGTGATTACAATGAAGCTGTAAACTGAAAGCAATTGTTGGGCGAATATTCTTATTCAACTTTTTTTGATTTCAATTTTTCTTTTTTGCTCAATATCATGGTGAAACTTTGACTTCTTGTTTCAACATTTGCAAACAAATTTACTTGATTAACTTGTTACTCTAAATAATTAGAGCAACTTGCCTTGAGCAAATGTTGCACTTTTAAAAGTTTGACTTTTGTTTCTCGTTCAATTTCAGCAACTGCTTTTCATGATAATTTAACCGTTTAACGAGCAAATTGCAAAATAATAATCAGTTAATGTGTTCACTTGCATTTTTCATTTTCATTTTGCTCATCATAAATGGCCTTAGTTTTTATGCTCATTTTTGCTCCACTTTTGATAGCAAATTGATTGAAAAGTTTTGCCTCACTTTAGGATATTTTATTCAATATGAATGAGATAAATGAATGAACGGATGAGAGTGAATACAAACAATCAAGTAAATAGTTTGAAAAAAGGGCAAAATAAGTTGTCAGTAAGTTATTACATTAATATGTTTATATTTGAATAAAGAAAATTTTCACCATGAAAGAAAAGGAATGAAGAAAAAAAGGAAAAATAAATTTCATGGAAACACACATTTATTTTAGTTGTTCACATGTTTGGGTGAATTAGTAAAGTTGCTTATTTTGCTATTCAACTGCTTTGTTTTTCATCAATTCAAATTTGCTCATTGATTTGTGTGTGTTGATGAGTGAAAAAAAGGGTAAAAACTCAGCAAAGTGAAAAGAAAAACTTTATTCAATTTGTTTACATCTAAACATGATAAATATTGCAATCTGTTAACCAACATTAAGATGCAACAAAAGGCAAAACAGTTTGGAATCAAAAATATTCCAATAATTTACTTTTGTATGTTGAAAGTGAAATGCTGTTGCCTGAAACAATTAACCTGTTGTTGAACCAGTCAACCTTACAATAACATTGCATAAACAATGAATAACTTGTCAACTCAATTGAATCAATAAAACATTTTTGACATGGGTTGACTGAGGTTAACAGATGAGCAAGTGAGCAACTAAAAAACCAATTCACAAGATAATTTTGTTAACTTTGATTAGTTGGTAATATCGTTTCAGTGTGAGGTATCGTGCGTATTGTGCATGTAGCCCTTTAAAAGTAATTGATATCGGAAGAGGAGACATTGATGCATATTCATGTTTTCAATCAGACAATAAGAGCAGAGGACAGAAGAGAAAAGAGGAAGCCCTGACTACTCGAGCCAGAGACGCTAACGAGCTCATCCGTGAGTTTGCAAGAATTTCCCGTGCGAACATGGAATCGATTCAGGATTTGAAAGATCACGACATGTTCTGCGATTATATGAATGAGCGTATGGAAAAGCATTTCGGTTTTCTCAAAGAAGAGTTTGAGAGACAGTATTTGGAATGGGCAGCAAAAAAGCCCGCAAAATTTCCAATAAAAATTGATTTTTGTAACCATATTTTCATATTTTCATAGAAGAAAAAAGAATAAATAGCTTCAATCAAAAATTCTCCTATTCTCTTCCATTAGAAAAATGCTATTCAAAAAACTGCTTTTTTACTCTTGTCCCAGAGTCGGACAAGAAGCGGAAAAAGCTGTCCTAGAGCGGACAAGTTGTCCTAAAGTAGGACTTTTTAACACTACTATAATGCACGGATTTCTCAAGACAATGAATTTTTGAGTAAATTTTTCAATTTTTCATCTTAAGCTTCTCTTCAGTAATACAAGTTCGCATGAATTTCGAGACATAGAAATTTCATGAAGATATGTTATTGATTAGAGAAGCTGCGAGAGTAGACTAGTTGGCCTGACTAGTGGGCATGATTTTATACTACTATGACACCTTCATTTTCCACCTGGCAACTAATACCAATTGATGTTCATTCATATAAATCCCCTGTAAGTTATGAAAAATCAATCATCCAAACTCTAAAATTATTTGATAGGTCAGTATCTAAGGTCACAAAAAAATTTGTAAAATTATGTCTGAAGTTAAATGGAATGCTTGCACAACCTGTAACCAAAAGTCTCCGGACTTTTTTTAAGAACAGTACCAAACTCAACTCAATTAAATTGAATAGAACACTCTTGCAAATAAGCCCAAAATCTGTTATTGTCCTGAATTTCTTTCGCTTGGATTCGGTCATTTAGAAATGTAACGAAACTACAATGTATAAATAAGCATTTACTCAAAATTAAGAAAAAAATTTGAGAAAAAATGTTCATGATGATTTCCAGATAATTCACTCCCAGATTTTGTATTGCAATCTCTTGCATACTTTTCCTAGTGTTAATGGTTTGATCAATAAAACGATTGATAATGATTAGCTTCAACAGTTTTGCTTCTCAAAATTGAATCAATCTGTAAATAAGTTTTGGTGACAGTTAAATATTGTAATCATTATTAACATTATAACTATTATTATAACAAATGTTAATATCATTTATAACCTATCATTGAAGTGAAAATAACTTTTGTTTTTCACGAGAAAGAGAAACCTTCTTCCTTTCAACATCGTCCATCAATGGTTTGAACCAAAAAAATCGTTACTCTATTATTATCATTTTTTGCTTCTCCACCAACTTTACCTTATAAATTTATCAAAAGATATCAAGAAATAAGAAGTAAAAGAGAGAGAGAGAAAAAAAATTTGAGATGAAACTGGGAGTGAAATTTTTGACCTTATCCATTGCGTGACTTTCAATGTTACCAAACTATATTTATATAGTAATAGATAGTTTCAGGTTAATATTGTAAGCTATACAGATTGGGAGTCAAAATTGACCAAAAGGGTAAGAAATGCTGGGAGTGAAAATGCCGTGAGATTTATCATCTTACTTTCAGGGTGGAAATTTTTTCTTCAACTTTTTCTTAACCATTTTTTCCCTCAATTTTTGGTCAATACTGATCATCATGTTGATGGTGATGGGAAAGGTGTAATTATTGGTTTCTCTAATATCTATCTGATAATTTATCACTACTGATGATAATTGCTGGCGATGAATAGGAGGTAAAAAACCTCAACTCTTCATCATGAAAATCTAATGATTATTTGATAATTTTTTCGATTCTTTTTTTCCTTCAGATTCTTTTTCCTCAACTTTTTCTTCTTTTACTTTTTTTCAACTTCTCCTGTTTCAACAGGCAAAGCATGTGTTAGTTAACAAATGATGAGCATCAGAACCAGCAAGTTGAAATTTGCCTTTGAATTTCTCATGAAAAGGCAGAAAAAAAGAAAAGGAAAAACAAGGCGAAAAGGCTTTTCATGACTATTTTTCAGCTGAATCTTCTTTCTCTTTCATCATCTGTTCCAACATGGGATAATATTTTTTTTACTCTTGAAACTTTTCTTTTCACTTCTTATCCATCAGATGTGAGTCTTCGAGTCGAGGGTAAATAAAAATCTCTTCAAGGTAAATCTCTTTTTCATGGTTACCTGTCCTCAGTCTGAGTTCATCAATTACAAAGTTCAACTTTTGTTGATTTTTCACCTTCAACTTGAAGACAATCAAACTCGATGGAAACTTGAGAAACGGAATCAAATGGATATTTCAATAATCTCAGAAGCGTTGAGAATCGATGAAATTGAAATTTCATGAAATGAGAAATTTTTGTTTCAATCTTTTCCAAAACTCTTTCAACTTGGAAGAAAAAGTTTCAAAGGTTCATTCCAATTTTCGATGTCGATTTCGAGTTTGAAAGGCATTCAGTTGAACAGAAACTTCAATATGAAAAGGTTATTCAAGCTAATCAACTAAGTAACAATAATTGAAATAATTCAATGAACAGGAAACAGTTGAAACCTTTTTTTACCTTCACATCTTCATCATCTCATTGACCAACTTCAAGTGTACAATCTCGTATTATAATCTTGATTAAAAGGTAAATGAAAAACCATTGAATAACAGAATGACAGAGAATCAATTTTCCCGATGAAAGCAGCAACAAACTTGCAACATGAAATTGAGAAAAGCGAAAAAATTTATCTCTTTTTTTTCGAATCAATTTTTCCATTTTGATCAGCTCAACTCTTTTTCACCTTGTCATCTTGACTCATGGACAATTGAACGATTAACTGTTAAATCGCAATTCAATGATATTCAATCAACAGTTATTCAATCAAGTGAAATATATCATGAAATGTAAATATAAGTCAATTTAATTTCCTGTCGAGAAACTTTTTACCTTCCTTTCCTTGCCTTTACCAAAATTCAATTTGACCATCTCAAGTCCAACTTTGAAGAGGTCAAATTTGA